GGAATTGATCTACAATGTTTTCATTCGACCGGACGCCGACGCCATATTGAATATCCCCTTGCGCCGCGGTGGGGGTGATGATTTTCGAGCTTGGGTTTTTGAAAGAAGCGGCAACTACTCCGTAAAATCTGCGTACCGTGCTCTCGTGACTCGGAAAGAGCGGCTAGCTCAAGAGGAAGGGGCGGTTACAAACTCCTCACAGACCGATGAACGGATGTGGAAGTCGCTTTGGAAGCTCAAGGTTTTGCCGAAGGTACGTGTATTCTGGTGGCGGGTTATTCGTCGCATTCTTCCAGATGAGTGCACGCTTCGGTATCGTCATATCAAACCTATAAGCAGATGCAATGTCTGCCATGCAATGGATGAGGATCTCATGCACGCCTTAGTGCATTGCTCTCATGCCAAACTTTTCTGGGAGCAGGCTCACGGTCTCTTTGGCGTTCGACGGCCGCGGCTGCACCCTGATACATGGTCTCGTGATATCATATGTGATGATCAATTCACGGACACTGAAAGGGCCCAAATGATCTCTGTTATGTGGGCAATCTGGCACTCGAGAAATCGAGTGACTCATGATGATGACCAGCTGGAGCCTTTCACTTCAGTGAGGCGGATTCGGGAGGACTTGGCATTGCTGGATATCCCGCATTCTCATGCTGCAGTGCTACCAAGTCATGGTTGGAGACCGCCGGACTCATGGGTGGTTAAGATCAACACGGATGCAGCTTTGAGTATGGATTCCGACAAGGTGGGTGTGGGTGGTGTAGCACGTTCTAACACAACCTTGTTGGGTGCTTGGAGTAAACCTCATATTGGGGTCACAGATCCTTTTATCGGTGAGACGCTCGCGCTTCGAGATGGAATTATTTTTGCAAATCTACGGGGCTTCTCACATGTGATAATGGAAACGAATTGCCTGGAGATTGTTAATCTCTGGAACACTCGCCACAACAGCCTCCCTGTGGTGGCACCTTTACTTGTCGAAATTGGAGAGCTAGCTGCTACTTTTTCTTCTTTTGTTATTCAACATGTAATGCGAGTAGCCAATGTACTGGCCCACCTTTGTGCGAAACATGCATGTACACTGGTGGTCACCGAGAGTTGGACTGACTCGAGACCCTCTTTCCTGCTCACCAGCCTTTTGGCTGATGATGCCAGGAGCTCGTTCGTTGAATAAAAGCTCTCAGGTTTAAACGCAAAAAAAAGCTTGTATTACTGACTCACTTTATAGGCGACGGGTTACTGCTAACTAATGACGCGGCTGAATCGCTGATTGTATATCGATTAGTGGTACCGATTCCTACTTTTGGGCCAGACAGCAGTCGGACCCGTCGGCCCCGCGCCTACATTGTTTTCCCTGTGCAAACGACGGGCGCACGCACGCTCGGCCGTCACGTGCACGCACACCCATATCTGCTCGGCTCCTCCTGCTGCCCGCTGACACACGCAACGGCTCGATCTATCCATCCATCGATAACCCCTGGCCGACCGGCGATGGGCGATGGACCTCCTCGTGCGCGCGCGCGTGGTGTGTCTGCCGCGCGCTTTGCCTGCCATGCCGTTGCCCGGCGTGTCCCCGGCCCCCAACGGCATCATCTGGACCGAGTTGCCCGCGTGTGATCCGCGCGTGCGGCAAAGTGATCACCGCCGGACCGAGCGACGGCGTCTAGCGGCGGTGCGGAATCCGTGATGCCGACGCGCGCTCACTGTGGTTGGCGGTTGCACCACGGTTCAAAGCGATCGGAAGTCGAGCAAACCAAACGTTGGAAGGAGAACCTGATTCTGCTTCTGGATGATGGACCGCACCGCCACCGCCACGGCAGGAGAAAGGGAATCCCGATTTCTTGTTCTTCTTCTTCGTCGTCGATCGACGACGTTGCCCTCCTCCGCTATGTCCGGTGCATGATTTTCAGTTCGTTTGTTTAGATCGGGGTCGAGCAAATTGTTAGGGCATCTCCAACGCCGATCCCTAAACCAGACACTGCAATTATCTGCGGACATGAGGGACAGTCCGTGGACACAGATGCGGGAGGGAGCCATCCAAGGCAATCCGCGTATGTCGGTTAAATTTTAAAAGAATTCGAGCGAAAATGAACAAATTTAATGCATATGGGAACACATTGGGCAATATTCATTCATATTTGGATGATTTTTTATTTACATAAACCAGATGCTTTTCATTTAAACCAAAGCAAATTCATTACGTTTAGTTATGAGCCGGCACGAATGCGGCATTGATTCTCTGGAGCGGCGCCGACCTTTTCGTGCAGGAACGCACGCTGGCGCGCAGTGGTGGAGCTAGCCGAAAAACTCTGGGGGGCGAAACACAAATGATCAGTGTCTGGAGGGGGGCAAATGCTAAAAATGTTCTAATCTAAGTCTCCCAAAAAAAATTCTTCAAAAATTG